CTGCATTGTACGTTTTTGAAAGCTAAAATCTGAGTCCACCCCCTCTGTTTAAAGTTGGTAACCAACCATAAACAGATCATAATCATGTTTTAATATTTCTTTCTTTGATAAAGTTGGCAATATTGATTCAGACAAATCATGCAGCTTAGTTGAGTCACAGTATGAGTAACTGTTGACATTAAGGAAAGCATCCTGCCTGATGATACATTTTGCAGCCAGTAGATTTATTTATTTTAATTTCTCTTGGTGTCTAATAACTATTATAGTTTTTTTTTTTTTTTTTTTTACAGTGTTTGAGCTCTTTTTAGCTTTCTGCTGCCCGTAACAACACTGACACCAACACTAGGCCAGGAGGTGCCACTGAGTCATCTTCTGCAATTTCTATTTTTTAATATGAACTAATAAAAACTAATAAGTGAACATATTGTTCCTTTAAAGGCAGTCTACCAGAAAAGGAAGACAAACAGGTATTCTGATAGCCAGTGACTAAAATAATGAGTGTTGACTTAAGCAGCCTAACTGCCCAAAGGTAAACAGCACGCTCTGTTTAAACACCCAACATTAAACAGGATGTGCCTCCTTACGCTGCCTGTGCTTTAATGAAATGCTGCTAGTTCGCATGGTACGCCCCTCCATTAAAGGAAACCACAGAAAGAGCAGGTGGTGTTAGCATCTAATGTTCCCCAAAGACCTTTTAGGTGGTAATTAGATGCTGGCTGGCCAGCAAGGCCTCACTGTAGTATGAAAGCTTCACTGTAGTATAAACCAAGCTGGAAATGTGCGTCGGGCACATTAATTAATTTTGTTTCTTTTTTCTTTCCCTTTTAGTGTTGTATAGACCTTAGTTGAGTCACTTCAATTTTAGAGTTGATAATTAACTCTTTTTCTTTTGTAAATGATTCGATTACGTTAATTGGTTGTGATATTGGTCCGCCTATAAGTAGGCTGGGTTTTTCTCTCTCTCTCTCTCTCTCCATTCGGACCTTCTGATCGAGCCACCGTCACAGAGAGAGCGTCCAGATGCGATGCGCACGTCTCCTGCCTCTCATCCATTCGAAGCCGGCGTTTCGGGGGTCTGTAAACGATCTTTTTTTTATTCAGCCTTCAGAGTGGGAAGATTTTGAAACGCCGTTTTCGCGTTTCCATCTTTAAGCTCTTACACGCATGCGTC